CCCCCCACCAGAGGGACAGTCTTGGCTGGTTTCTCTTCCTGCTAGGGGTACTCCCACCCTGCCCATGGCTACCAGGGGACATTAGTCACCAGAGGGAAAGGCACCTGCAGCCCGAGGGTGTAGGAAGAAGGCAAGGGTTGGCCCTGGGCAGGCCTGTCCTCATCCTTTGCCCTGATGACGGGCTGGCCCTCGATGCCCGGTGTTTCATCTGTGAACAGGAGGACCCTTCAGACCCCTGCCTTTCCTTCTAAGAGTTCACGTGTAAGCAGAATGCTGGGACCTCCAAGTGCATCTTCACAGAAGATGAGCCCCTGGGAGAGGCAGGGGCATGGATGGGGTAGGGGGGGCATGGATGGGGTAGGGGGGGATAGGGAGTGTGGAGGCTGAGAAACTAGTTTGGGGCAGCCTGCACTGATCCAGCTGTGAGGTAACAGGGTGTGCGGTGGGGGTGGAGAGAAGAAAAAAAACTGCTAGAAAAAAACTACATCTTGAACGTGTTCTCCGTATACTTTTCATCTTTTGAGAAAGTGCTCTAAGTGATATTGATGGGGCCGTCACCCCCCTGGGCCCACCTTTCCCCTGCATGACTCGGGCTGGCCCATCAGAATGTCCACATCTGGTGGCGCAGTGATGGATCCCAGCCAGGGCATGCGACACCATCAGGGCCAGTCCTCAGAGGGTGCTGACTGGGAGGCTGGACCGTTAACGGGAGGAAGTCTGGACACCTGGAGCAGCCATTGGTGTTTTTGGTTTTGTTTTCTCTTCTGTTTCTACCAGGCTGAGGGCACCTCCCTAAGCACTCAGGCATCACGGAGGAAAGCAGAGCAAGATCCAGAGAAGACAGATCTCCAGCATCCTCTTCTGAACCTCTGGACTCAGTGACTGCTGAGGCTAGACCCTCTCTCTGGACTTCCTAATTCTATAAGCCAAATAAGCCTTCTCTGCTTATAGTCATTGGAGACAGTTTTCTGGCTCTTGCAACCAAAGGAAAGTCCTAATTACATAGAAATTTGAAAGGCTAAATGGCCAGGCCATTCATTTATTAATTATAAATCACAGAATGACTTATTAAATGGGGAGAATGGGAGTGAGTGGAGTCAGAGGTTACCTCCATATTTCTGTCTTGGATGGTAGGGTAGATCATGGTACTTGGGAGGGGGGACACAGGAGGAGAAAAGGATGGGGGAGGGGGAGCTTAGTTCAGGTTTGAGGAAAGTGGGGTGACAGTGGATCATTCAGGAGACAGTGGAAAGATGAGTCTGGAACACCAACCCCATGGCGGAGCCCCGATCCTATAGCCAAATGTACTTGTGCTTCATTCCCACTTGTTTCTCTGTGCAAGGCAAACCTTGTGCTGACCCTGGAATCCTAAGGGCAATGCCATCATGCCCCACTGGGTCATGTGTGACTGAGGTTGGAGCTGTGAAAATTTGCAATGGCAGGAAGACATCTCCTGTCTGCTCCAGGAGGGAACTGGGATTGGGGCCTGGCAGGAGGTGAGAAGTAAAGATCTGAAACATTGAACTATATTCATTGCTTGCAAGGACACAGTGAGATTTGGACCCCCTCATACCCTGATGAGAAAAGTATAAATAGGCATCACCTTTCTGGAAAGTATTTTGTATGTAGATAGAGATAGATCTAGATCTAGTTCTATAGCAAGAATTTTGAAAACACCCTTTATTTGACCTAGCAATTCCATCTCTATGAGTCTATCCTAAGTAAACCAGCCTTTAATTCTGGACAGTGTCATTTAATAAATAATGAAGAAAACATGTAAACCACTTTAATTTGCCTGTATTCAGGTAGAAATTCATCTCAGATTCAAGAAGTTCAGCCACTGCCCCAAGGAAGTCTCTTCAAGCAGGTAAGACCAATGTTCCTCTATTCTAGGTTTTCTCAACCTTGGCACCTTTGACATTTTGAGAAGAATAATTCTCTGTTGTGGGGCTGTCCCTGTACCTTGAGAACATTTAGCAGCATCCCTGACCCCTACTAGATACCAGAAGCACCTCCACTCTGGAGCTGAGATAGTAAACCTGCCTGCAGACATTGATAAATGTCCTGGGGGTGGGGGCAAATACACCCCCAGTGAGAACCATCACTCTGTCGTGTTTGTAGCCAGAGTGGAGCTTACAGATGGTTTGGGGCCCAAACAGCTCTGCAAGTCTTTAGAGAAGGTATTGAATCTGAGCCACTTGGTTTGTTAATCAGCAGGACTAAAGGCCAGAATATGAGTCTAGTGCTGAACCAGTGGCCATGGCTTTCTTCACTCCAAAACACAAGATAGAACGTTCTTGTAAGTTAGAGGTTACAAAGAAGTAGGATGAGCCAACCCCAGCCAGCAGGAGCATCTTTTTGGCTCACAGAGTGTTTTAAAATAATTTAAATTAGTTGCCAACATTTTGAAAGTTGTAAAATTTCTTTACACAGCCTCGTCCAAGAAAATAGGAGAGAGCACTCCCCAACTCGTTTTATGAGATTAGTTTTAGCATGATACCAAAGCCAGAGAAAGAAAGGAAAACTACCAAGCAATGTTAATTGTGAATTTAGACACAAAAATCCTCAACAACATGTTAGCAAAGCAAGCCTAACAGTCTTTATAAATAATTATACACCATGACCAAGTAGGATTAATTCCAGGTATGCAAGACTGGTTCAACATTCGGAAATCAATCAGTGCAATCTAACTAACCAACAGCCCAAAGAAGAAAGAAAGGTCATATGGCTACATCAATTGACACAGAAAAATAAAAAAAGCATCTGAAAAAATCCAATACCCATTCATGATAAAAATCCTTAGCAAACTAGGAATAGAGGGGGATCTTCCTTAACTTGATAAAGAGAATTTATAGGGGTGCCTAGCTGGCTTAGTCAGTAGAGCATGTGACTCTTGACCTCAGCGTCATGAGTTTAAGCCCCATATTAGGCCTAGAGCTAAATAAATAAATAAATAAATAAATAAATAAATAAATAAATAAAGTTTAAAGAGAGAGAGAGAGAACTTATAAAATCCTGCAGCTAATATCTTACTTAACAGTGAAAGATGGAATGCTTTTCCCCCACAACTGGGAACTAGGTGAGGATGTCCACTCTGACCGTTTCTAATTAACGTAGTACTGGAATTCCTAGCCACAGTAATAAGGCAGGAAAAAGAATTGAAAAGAAGAAATGCAACTCTCCCTATTTGCAAATACCATGATTGTTTACATAGAAAATCCCAAAGAATCTACAAAAAGCCCTTTGGAACTAATAAGTGAGTTCAGCAAGGTCACAGGATGTAAGATCAACACACAAAAAAATCAATACACTAACAATGAACATGTGGCAACCAAAGTTAAAAACACAATACTATTTATAATTACTGCAAATAAAATGAAATACTTAGGCATACACTTAAAACATATGCAGGATCTATATGCTGAAATTTATGAAATGATGATGAAAGAAATCAAAAAGAAGCACTGTGTGTTCATGGAATGGAAGACTCATCATAGTAGAGATGTCAATTTTCCCAGTGTATCTATAGGTTTAATGTAATCCCTATCAAAATCCCAGCAATGTATTTTTTAGACATAGACAAGCTTATTCTAAAATTGTATGGAAAGCTTTAAGTCCTAGAATAGCTAAAACAATTTTGAAAAGTAGTCAGGAGGCAGAGGACTTATTATATAGCAGCAGTAATCAAGACTGTGTGGTATCAGCAGAAGAGTAGACACATAGATCAATGGAATAAAAAAGAGAACCCAGAAACAGACACACACAAATATGACCAACTGATTTTTGACAAAGGTGCAAAAGCAGTTTAATAGAGAAAGAATAGTATTTTCAACACACAGTAGTGGAGAGATGGCCATTCGTGGGCAAAAGAAAACGGAACAAAAACATAGAAAATGAACTTCAACCTAAATCTCATACCTTACACAAACATGAATGCAAAATGGATCATGGACTTAATATAAAATGTCAAACTATAAAATTTTTGGAAAAAATAACATAGGAGAAAATCTTCAGGATGTAGGGGTAGAAAAAGAATTCTTAGACTTGACACCAAAAGCACTAGACTTGACAGAAAAGGAAAAGGAAAAACTGATCAGTTGTACCTCATAAAAACTTTTGTTCTGCAAAAGATTCTGTTCAGGTGATGAGAAGACAAGCTACGAGTGGGAGAAAATATTTGCAAACCACAATTTGACAAAGGATTAGTATCTAGACTATATAAAGACTCTTAACACTCAACAGTTTATAAAAAACAATTAGAAAATGCATAAAAGACATGAACACATATTTCACCACAGAGAACACACAGACAGCAACAAGCTCATGAAAGATGATCAGCAACACCAGTTATCATGGAAATGCAAATTAAAACCACAGCGACACATCACAACACACATATCAGCATGGCATCACCAAATAGTGACAACACCAAACGATGACCAGGATGTGGCAAAACTGGATCACTCATCCATTGCGTGTTGCTGGTGGGAATGTAAAATGGTACAGAGATTCTATCTCACCGTTTGGTGGTTCCTTATAAAACTAAACATGCAACTAGCACATGATCCAGCAATTGCGCTCTTGGGCATCTGCATCAGAGAAACAAAAACATGCTCACACGCACACAAAAACCTGTATACAAATGTTCACAATAGCTTTATTTGTAATCGTCCCAAGCTGGAAACAACCAGATGTTTCTAGACCATGGAGCACAACTCAGCAAGTAAAAGGAGTAAACTACTGATACACGTAACTACCTGGATGAATCTCGAGGAAATTAAGCAGAGTGAGAAAAGCCAATTCCAAAAGGTCCTACACCGTGTGATTCTATTTATATAACATTCTCAGAAAGCCAAAATTACAGACATAGAGGACAAACGAGGAGGCGCCAGGGATTAGGGGTGGGGAACAGGAGGTGGTGAAAGGAAAACTGAAAGGAATCCTTCAGGTGATGGAAATGTTCGGTATCTTGACTGTCTCAATGTGGGTATGGGTGTGCGCTGTAGTTTCAAAAGATGTTACCCTGGGGGAAACTAGGTAAAGGGTTCAGGGACCTCTCTGTATTAGGTCTTGCAACAGCATGCCAATCTACCATTGCCTCAACATAAGAAATTTAACTATAAATGCTTTTATGATTTCATAGAAAATTACGGGCTTTTGACTTCTCTTGAAGAGATAGGAAGCTCTTGTGACACTGGGTCTGCACTCCCACGTGGCAGCCATCAGCCAGAGTTGATGGTGGTGCCTCCTTCAGACAATAGGACAGGATCCCTCCTGTTTGCCACAGTCCCTCCTCCTCCCTATTGTCTCACACCCTGCCATTGACCACAGTTACTGTTTCTGGCCTGCTCCTAAAGACTGGAGTTTGCCACATTTTGTCTCAATGATTCCTGTGTTCCTCCTTGAGAAAAGAGGATTGTAGGGAAGAAGAAGGCAGAGGGAAAGCAAATTGCCTTATGCTGCCTTTCAGATCCAATTATCTCACTCAGAAAACTCAATACCATGAATCCAAAATTTCCACTGTGTGTGAGATAAATAGGAAAGCGTCCTCCTGATTTTGTTCACCAGGGCATTGAATTAAGTCTCTCAAACTGAAAATGGAGAGCTATAAAATTTGAATATATTTTAACAGTCCCAGGTGTATGCGCAATTAAGCAGTTAAAGCTCATTCCTCAGTTGTGAAAACCTTCCCTAACATGGAAATGATAGTTCACGTTTAATCTGCTCAACATGGATAGATTTGAAGATCACTCTTTAAGGGCCATAACTTTATTTTGGGGAGGAGTGTGGATAAGGTTTCATTTCAACCTCCTCTGATGCATCCACATAAGTAAACGGATGGGTGGTCACAATCCAGGAAAAATGTGCCAAACTCTTATTATTTTAAAAGCACAAAATAGTTAAACTAGTTTTTTTTTTAATATGGTTTATAAAATCAGGGCTAGCCTTAATACAAGAATTCTGAAAATGCAAATGTTAAATGCTTCTGTGTGTCCGTATGTATTTATGCATAACCTGTGTTTTCACTTGTTCCTTCCTGGGTGGAGAGGAGATGCTGAAAAAAAGAAAATCTAGTCAAGGTCAGTCAAGGGACCCGTGCAGGTTGAGGGGTAAGCTCCCTGACACCCACCTGGCTTTCCGAGGTGCTGTTCTCATTGCCCATGGTGATTCAGGGTGCCAGCGTCCCTCAGGATTTTACCAGAAGCAACTAGAAGAAATAAAAAGGTATACACATCTGTAAAATTGAGGAAGATCTGAGGCTTTTTCTCTCCGCACCTCTCCCCAGACTCAAAAGCCAGATGATGGGAAATGTGGATCTCTGCAGTCACATCATGGAAAATCGCTTTTGAAGGGTTTTCTTTTGCGATATGCCACCCAGACTTCTTTCCCAGGACAGGCTGCTGTGTTTGTTCCCCAGCCCAGGGTTGGCAGCCGTTTCTGAAAAACGAGTTTGTCCCTGAGTCTGTGTGAACGCCAATGTACACACATAGGTGTATCCACAAATGGAGTGACAGGAGGGGCTCAGGTGCCAAAGAAAGTTCCAGGGGTGACACTCTCAGGGTGTTTTCTGCTCCTAATTGTGCTCCCTCCGGAAATGCAGAGTGTGGCACTTCCCCCCATCAAGTGACCCACAGAGCCGGGTGTCGCACATTAGGAGGCTTGAAATCCACTTTCCTTCAGTAACATATTTTTTACTCAAAGCGCTTGTTTCATCAAATCAGTTTCGCTTCTGCACATATTTTTATGAGGGCAGAACGGTTTTCTTGGTGAGGAAAATGGGTTGCCGGGGCCAGACAAGGAATAAATCATCAGGTAAAGGGGCGGGCTGCCCAGACCACTAGACCCGTTCCATCGGGCTCGCTTAGCGACGGTGATGATTAATCACCGTCCTCGGGAGGAGGCTTCCCACACAGCTCACAGAGTTCCACAAGACCCCATAACATCAGCAGGACGGGGACTCTCACCCGCACTTTTTCTACATGGAGAAACTACGTTACAGAAAACTTGTAGAATTATCAACTTTTAGAGCTGGAGCCTGAGAGATTACCAGTCTGATCCAGCAGGGGAAACTGAAACCAGAGAAGGGAAGGGGGCTTGCCAAAGACCCAAGCTGGAAAACGGACTCAGTCTCCTGCCTTCTAACTCAAGATTTCTTCCACAACAGTATTTGCTTCCACCATAGTATTTGATGGAAATATTAGCTCAGAAAACTTCGGTGATTCCACTGATTGCTTATCCATTCAACCAACACTGACTGAGTAGCTACCACGTGCTACGTGTACTGAACAGTCACGGGAAAAGAAAATGTGAGTATTTTCAGCAGCACAAATAAAATGCCCCCCAAACTGAGAAAACTGGAAGTGACATCACTGTAGTAGTGATCGATTGATTCTCTCACTCCAAACCCTTGGGTCAAAAGGATACAATTCCTTAATCCTTTCTTGCCATTTACTGTTTATAAGATGGGGGAAAAAAATCATACGCTCACTTACAGAACATTAAAATCTTCATGTATTTAAAATCGATCACTTCAGGGTTTCTTGGGGTTTTTTTTGAGGTTCATTTGGAAAATGATGCCTCATTAGCAAACAGTGATGACTGTTAATCGTTATGACTGTATCAATGATTGTCACTTCCCCATGCCCACGAGTTTAACCCACACGCAGTTGGGATTTCATAGTTTGATGTAGTTTTTTTAAAAATTTTTATTTATTTACTTGCCAGAGAGAGAGAGAGAGAGAGCACAAGCAGGGGGAGCAGCAGAGGGAGAGGGAGAAGCAGGCTCCCCGCTGAGCAAGGAGCCCAAAGCGGGACTCGATCCCAGGACCCTGGGGATCATGACCTGAGCCGAAGGCAGACGCTTAACCGACTGAGCCCCCCAGGCGCCCCAGTTCAATGTAATATTAATTTTTGCATTTCATTCACCAGATTAAATTCAATAACTGCATTACAAATCAGAGCGCCCGAACTAGCTTTTTATACAGGTAACCATGACAAAACTACTTCTGGCTCAGGGTGCCTGGGTGACACAGTCGGTTGAGCCTCGGATTCTTGATTTTGGCTCAGGTCATGATCTCGGGGTGGTGAGGTCGAGCCCCGTGTTGGGCCCCGCGCTCAGCGGGGAGTCAGCTTGAGACTCTCTCTCCCTCTCCCTCTGCCTCTCCCGCTTGTGCTCACGCTCTCTCTCTCTCTCCCTAAAAAAGTAAATCTTAAAAAAAATACTAAACCTACTTCTGGCTCAGTGTAAATTTCAAAACCACAGAGAGAAGGCTTGGCTCTTTCGGGAACTCTCTCCTCCTGAGCTACAGCATTGCCAGCCCCTCGAGCTCCCCCAAGACCAGAAAGGAAGGCGGGTCCAGCTCTGCCGTCTACTTACATTCAGGGAAGGTCTGGGACTTTGGAGGCTGCGGGCCCACGGGAGGTCTGCTTTCCAGCAGTTGGACTTTCTCTTCCATTTAGAAGCAGGTGAGGCCTACGCAGAGGCGCTGGCCCACGTCACCCAGTTGGGCAGACAAGCCGTCTCCACCCTTGACACGGACACAAACCAGCTGCGCCTCATACCTGAGCCGCGGGCCACGCGGAGCCGCTGTGATCACACAAACGCGGAATCAGCATTTCTGAGCCCATCGTGGCCCGGGCCTTTCACGTAGAGGATTTTCCCCGTTATTACAGGAGCAGGGCCCCTTTCAGAGAGGGCTTATCCAGACTAAAACTGGCCCTGTGACCTGATTGGCTGCACCTAAGCGATCCGAACTGTCCTGCCCGGCAAGCAGGGCATTCACTCTCCAGATCATTCACTCGCCCTTCAGGCCGCAGAGCAGGGACAAACCGTCCAGGGGAAGAGGAGTAAAATGCGCAAAGGGCTTCCTGTTGGCACCTGGAAAAATCCCACCCTAAGTAATGTGGCAAGACAAAGAGAACTTGTGAAAATAGGATGACGCCAGCAGTCTGGCACCTGTTTACAGTGTGTTGTGTGGAGAATGTACTTACCGAGGCGGGGCTTGAGTCTCAACAAGTGAAGTCATAAAAAGCCGCAGGCTTGGCCAGGGCGCCGAGAGGCGGACCTGCCCTCCAGGGTGGAGGAGGCTCTGAGGCCTTTGGGTGGGACCGATGATGGGCAGCTGCCCAGAGCCCCTCGTGCCCGGCAGCCTTCCACCTCCCAGGATTCCTCCCATTATCACCAGGCAGCCACTCTTCTGCAGGAATGCAGCTGGTTTCGGTTTTGTGAGTCTTTCTCTGTGCAGAAGCCCCTGAGCCCTGCCACAGGGTGCGACCCCTCCTGGGAAACAAGTTGGCATTGCATCAGAGCCTCCCTGGAGACCAGGTGTCTGACCAAGCTCGGAGGAGTGTCAGGAACTTCTTGGAGGGGCATGTTGGTTGTTGGGGGAGGAGCTTGGTGCCCCCACTTGTGGTTGGGACAGAGCAGAAGTGTATATGTTTCGACAAATGAACGGATAATCAAATTGTGATAGGCCCATACATCAGAATATTAATCAGCCATGAAAGGGAGTGAAGTTCTGATACATGTAACCCACTCAGACGAGCCTCAAAACTTACTGAGTGAAAAAAGGCAGAAACAAACGGTCACATATTGTGTGATTTCACCGATAGGAAATGCCCAAAAGAGGCAAATCCAGAGGGACAGAAACCAGGCTGATGGTTCGCAAGGGCTGGGGGCAGGGTGAGTAACTTCTTGATGGGTTCAGGGTTTTATTTCAGCGTGATGAAAATATTCTGGAACTAGATAGAAGTGGTGGTTGCCCAGCGTTGGGAATGTGGTAAATATAACCACATTGTTCACTTTAAAATGGTTAATTTTGTGTTACGTGAATTTCGCCTCATGTTTTAAAGGTGTGTGTGTTTCATATCTTGGGGTTCTGCATCTACTATTTAAAAAAAGAATTCCACGGGGGAGGGGGGCGGTGGGAGGAACGTCTGAAAACTGTTACTTTTATGTTTATTAACACCAGGTTTCTGTACAATTAAGGATTGGTGGGATGAGAAACAAGAATGTTTGCCTCCCCCGCCCCCCAAATCACAGGAGAATTCTTCTAGGGAAGAGAATCTTTTTAAGTGAAATATCTTGGATGAGCCAACTGGAAATGAAGAGAGGTCATTCAGGGGGCAACAGGGGGCAAACATAGAAAAAAGGAAGGGGAGGATTGGAGGCACACTCCTGGGGGAGAGAAGGAGGAAGAGAGGCTGGCCAACCAAAATGGCGGAGTCGCATAAGGCCGTTGGAGGTGGGGAATGTTCAGGATTCAATTTCAGCTGTATACCTTCATTAGTGCGTATTCCTTCCATGAACCATCTCCTCAGTCAACTCATGGGTGGCCACTGATACCACTTTCGCTGCCACTGTTGGTCCCATGACCACTGTCATGACTGCTGGATACTGGGCATTATCACTGACGCCCATCCCAACACCGCTGCCCAGAAGTGGCCACAGCCAGTGGGGAAGAGAACAAATAAATAGACCAACTTCTCAGCTTCCATCCCAGAAGCTGGTGCTCCATCTCTTATAATAAAGTGCCTGGGCACTGGGGACGTGTTCAGATGCCAGGCACTATGGAATCCAGAGTGTCCACATTCCTTAGTCGTGATCACGTCTCCCCAAGGCAGTGCTCTGATGGACCTCAATATCAGTCTCCTTGACTTACCACTGTCTACACGTGTCCGTGGCTGATCAGTTGCCCTCTTTGTCTTCTTCCAAGCTGGACATTCAGCAAGCAACCAGATTCCCATTTCCCACCACACATGGCTAAACACACATGTGTATGGGTTCCCCCGTCCATCTCTGGGACAACCTCCCTTTGGAGGCAGGGGTTGGGATTATGAACCAGACTGCTGTCACATGAATACTAGCTTCACCACTTACCTGGTGTGTAAATTCTGGCAAATTAATATTTAATTTCTGTGTCCTCGGTTTTGTCATCTCTAAAATGGGAATCATAGCAATACCTACCTCGCATGGCCGTAATGAGTTAATTTCAGTAAAGCTCTCGGAACAGAGTAAGCCCTAGATAAACTGCTGCCTGTTCTATCATTGCGGGCAGGGGGTCTGTTTGGAGTCCCAGTAGGCAAATCCCTCAGTGAAACAAGGCTTATACTGCCTTCTTTTTATCCCTTCAGTAAAATCATGAATTTGGGTGCAACTACTTAGAAATCAGTACATCTGCAATAAAAGCTCAGCTAAACTGACTTGTGCACTAGAAGAAACCCATGGTGACTAAGACATCTTATAACACAGACTCAATAAGAAGAAAGTAAATTGTTTCAAGAACTTTTGAACGAGCCATTTACACTGAAATGTCTACTGGGCTGGTGACACACCATTCCGATCCTGTCCCTCTCCATGGGCATCGCTGGGCACCAGGTGTTAACTTAGCTAGAGTACCTCTATGTCCTCAGGTGAATTAAACTGCCTATCTTTACAAAGGATCCACAGTTTAGGCTTCTAATTCATTCCAGTGGCTTGCACAAACGAGACTGAATCCACAAAGGTCTCTTCTACCCACTTGTTTCTGTACGAGCCTAAACAGCCAGCTGACCTCAACCTACTCACCCATAGATTAAATATATAAAATTCATTTTAAAGGATAATTGTTTGGGAGGATTTTTGTTTCTCAACTGGTTTACTGGTGTCACATCATCGAAGCCCCAAAAGACCCCGAATGTAAGATAGGACAGTCTTTGATTCATTAATTCACGTCTTCACGCGTTCTATAAATATTGAGCTTTTTTATGTACCAAGCATGGAGGCGCTCGTGTGCTCTTTAATACTTACAGCGAGGCCATGGGGTAGGTATTTTCTCTTTTTATGGATGAACAACCAAAGCCCAGAGGGATCAAGTCACATGGTCAAAGACCAGCTGAGAGCAAGAGGAAGGATGGAGTCTGGTTGGCCCCAGGCCCTACATTCACGAAGGATGTGATGCTCCCACCTTGGAAGATTTTTCTATACAGTTCAAAGGTAATTGATGGCCTTTTTCTCTCATTTCTTTTTCTGCTCATTGACTTCTGGAGTAGAGCATGGAGTTTTTAGGTGTTGGCAACCAGAACTAGTTGGGAGGGTCCCAGCTGATGCGACCTCCCCGCGCCCCCCCCGCCCCGGCAACCATTGATCTGCGAACAGTGCCGGGTTCGGGCCGGTCACTTGCTGGGGTGGCTGAGACAGCCTAGCAGGGCTGGGTAGCCAGAGCACTGCTGAGAGGAGCCGAGAGCAGAACCGGGGAAATGGGGCCTGGGGCCAAGTGTGGAGGAGGAGGGGAAATGGAAACGTGAGAACCAGCACGGCAGCTGAGCCGGGCGGAGAGACCTGTGGGTGGAGGACGCCGCTCAGACCGAGATTGCGATGTCCAGGTCGGGCCGATGCCCCATTTTACGTGCTACCTGTAGGGTGGGAGGCGCAGGGAGCTGGGAAATCAGAGACGAGATCACGTTGTCCCCATGGCATCGATGATAACACGGAGGCTCAGAGAGGTTTTGCAACTCACCCCCACTGTCCTGTGAGAACAGCCTGCTGGGATTTGTTGCTACATCAGACAATTGTACCAAGTTTTCTATTTAGGGATTTTTATTCTCTCTGTTAAAAAATGGAATGGGAATGTATCTGTTTTAAAGGCTTAAGAAGTTTTGATTTTTCTCCTGCATTGAGCACGTTAGGTTGTTAGTGCTGGAAGAAACTTGGAGATCATCTTCACCGACACCTCCTTCACAGACGGGGAAGCCGAGGCCAAGAGGGTGGGAATGATCTACCCTGGTCTCCCAGCGAGCAGGGCCTGGAGCCCGGTCTCGACTTGGACAGGCGTGCTCCCCCCAGACAGCCTCCCCCTGAGCGGGCCTCTGCAGTCGCCTCTGGACCAGACTAGCAAGGTCAGAGGAGACCTGCCTTCCCTGCTGTGGCTTTGCCCTCGGGCCACGGTGGCGTCCAGCCAGTCAGGCCCTGTGTCAGCTGAGCATGTGGGGAGGCATCGGCTGGAGGCATCCAGCTTCTGTCTGCTCACTGACGGCGAGCCCAGGTTCACCTGACCAGCGGTGACTTTGGCCGCAGGACACGCCCAGCGACCTCAGCCAGCTGCTTGTTCCCACAGATGGCCCCAGCAGGCAGGAGACCTCATCTTCTCCCTCCCATGGCTGAATTCAGTTGTTCTAACTCCCTACCTTGCACAGCTGAGCATTTAGCTACTTATAGCTCTGTTATCATGTTCCTGTTTTAATACAAACAAACAGCCGTAGCCTGGGAAGGGGATTTATTGAGAGACCTCGCCTGCTTTCTGCTCTGGCAGGGACCTGGCTGCTCTGTAGGGTTTGAGTGACATGACAGATCTTCCCCGCCACTCTCCCCCAGCCTCCGCCATCTCTGAGGCCACCAGGAAATTTAGATGGGAGAAGCCCAGCCTTGTAGAAGGCGGGGACTGGGAGGAACTCAGAAATCAGTCTCTCCTGCCCCAGGGACCAGAGACCACTGCACTCAGCCCCGCTGCTGGGGAGAGGCTGGGCCAGTCATGCAGTAACCCTCCCAGCCTCAAACCTACTGTATTCCGGTGGGGGACTCTGCCAACCCGCTTCTGCTTGGCCAGCTGCTCTTGCTAGGCCCTGCCGGAGGAGGCAGAGGCCAGAGGTGGAAGGAGGAAGGAGAACACACTCCTTCCAGTCTGTTTTTCCTGTTCTGGGAGCAGCATCCAGCCTCACGGCTTCACCTCGGGGGTGGGGGGCGGGGGCAGTCCCCCCCTTGCAGCGCTGGGGTCCCGTGTGCAGTCGTCCCGATGCCTACAGAGCTCGCCTCATGGCTGGGGCTCCCTCCACAGGGGTCTGAGGTTCCCTTCTGTGGGGCCCTCCTCCAAGCTTCTAAATTTGAATAATTCCAGCTTCTCTCTGCTCCCTAAGCCCTGAGTGTGATAACCGCCTCCTGCAGGCGCCACTTTCTATCATAACTCCG